AAAAAAAAAAAAAAAAAAAAATCCATTAGTTAAAGGCTTCATAATCCTAATTCTTTTCCTGTGTACCTCTCCCCTCTCTCACAAAAATTATTAACCCTATTTTGTGTGTTATCCAAACTACATTTTATAAACTCAAGCATCTTTATAGGAAAAAGAAATCAAGTTTAAATTTTGTTAATTAATGTTCATCTAAACTCCCTTTTGAGCTTTCCTTAAACTTTGTGTTTACAATTGTGTGTTAAATAGCATGATCAAAATGTTTAAATAATATGCTGCTTTGAGGAACTTAAACTTTCAATATTTTCTGGCTTCTGCATTTAAAATGTATACATTTTACTTTATTCATAAATATTTAGCCTGTTTATCTGCATACCTGAAAAAACAATGCCATTACCCACCTTTCAGATGAGATTACTAACACTAAAATGCAGGCATTAAAATTAACCTATTAAAAAACTGTTTTGAATGGATGGTAAACTTGTTAAATTTGATATGAATGATTATTTTAATCATCACAATTTATATCCTTTCATTAATGTTTTTAGAAGTAGGAATAGTGCTTGTAGCATAATTTGCTCTGAATCCTTTTTGAGGAAAAAAAACCTCCCAGTATTCTACATAATAAACTATGTTTTTATTCTTTCCTATCCAAGAATGCTAACTTTTGGTTTAACATAAACACAAAAGATAACCTGTCATTCTTCTTTTAGTCCCTATACCCAGCATAGTGCCTGATTCATGAATTAATTTAAAGGTGAAAAAAATTAACAAGAATTTATAAACTTGAATTTTAAATGTATCACTAACTAGAATGTATCTTGTACTTGCAGTATGCCAGGCACTGTTAAGTGCTTGCTTATATACAGTAGTTCATTTCATCCTTCCAGTAATTTCATCTCTACTTTAAAAATGAGGAAACAAGATTCTAAGAGCTTAATTACCTTAGCCAACATCACACAGTTGACCTTTGAATACCAGGTGTGACACCAAAGCTCACACTCTTTCCATGCCTAGGTTTACATCCTGGCTCCACTAATTTTGTGACCTTGGGCAAGTTACTTAACATCTCTGTGCCTGCATTTCCTCATCATTTAAAATGCAGATGATAATCATGCCTACCATGTAGGATTGAAGTAAATGAATTAGTAAAGCTCTTTGTACAGTGCCTGGCACATAATAAGGACCAAACAAGTGTAAACTTCTATTGCTATACCACACTACCTTCCCAAAACTTATACTATATTATAGCATTACTTATATAGTTACATAGGATTACACAGACAGAAATTTAATCCACCTTTAAGGAAAAGTTAAGAATATTTACCCTAAAGCATATTGAAATAGGACCAACTGGGAGTTAGGTTACGGGGCAAGTTGTTCTATCATTAAAATATAGTTTCTTTAACTGGCTATAAGAATAGAAATGAAAGCCTGGAGGCTGCTTATGGTCTAATACAGGTTGAGGATCCCTACTCTGAAAATCTGAAATGCTCCAAAATTTGAAACTTTTTTTGAGTGCTAATGTCACAAATGGAAAATTCTGCACCAGACCTTATGTACAGAAACTTTGTTTCATGAACAAAATTATTTAAAACACGGGGCATCCCAAAAGTTGCCATACATAGAGAAAATGGGAAATTGTAGCTAAATGTAACTTTACAAGATATTAATTACAAAATTTTTCTTTTGGAGACTTTTGGGACACCCTGTAGTATATAAAATTACCTTCAGGCCCAGGCGCGGTGGCTCATGCCTGTAATCCTAGCACTCTAGGAAGCTGAGACCAGAGGATCACTTGAGGCCAGAAGTTCGAGACCAGCCTGAACAAGAGTAAGACCGCATCTCTACAGAAATTAGCCAGGCATGGTAGATGCGTGCCTGTATCCCAACAGGCTGAGGCGGGACGATTGCTTGAGCCCAGGAGTTTGAGGTTGCAGTGAGTTACAATGACACCACTGCACTCTAGCCTGGGCAACAGAGTGAGACTCTGTCTCAAAAAATATAAATAAAAATAAAAAATAAAGTTTAAAACTTACTAATTTAGGCACTTACTGTGTAGTGGCATTTGATGTTAGATTCAGGATAAAGTGAAATATCTTCTGGATCTGTTAAAGAATGCTTCTGATTGCATTAAGTTAATTAAGAAATTAACTTTCTCACCAAATCATAATTTTCCTTCTATTAAACAGAATGTCTTAACATTTAAAATTTTGTTTTAGACCTTACCGGAAAGATGAAACCTGATGAAACTCCTATGTTTGACCCAAGTCTACTGAAAGAAGTGGACTGGAGTCAGAATACAGCTACATTTTCTCCAGCCATTTCCCCAACCCATCCTGGAGAAGGCTTGGTTTTGAGGCCTCTTTGTACTGCTGACTTAAATAGAGGTATGGTCTCAGTGTACCAGTCTTGACTTAGAACTATTGTTAGTTAGCCTTCCATTTTCTCCATAGACATTATGATGCTGATAATTTAAAAAAATATTTGACTTGTGGACTATTTTTTGTACTTAATTTTTAAAGTGACCGGGACACTCAATCCCAATGTGTATATGTCATGCTAAGACCAAATATTACTGTGAAATATTTAAAATGACTTAAATATAAAAACCACTCCTTCCTAATTAAGCCAAAAAGGCTTCTCGTAAAAATGGTATCCTCAACAATGTTATTTATACTTTATTTCACAAGTAATACATTTGGTCATAGTGAGAAACTTAAAAAGTAAAACCAAATCACATATTTGGGAAAATTTGGCATCCTTTGCATTGAACTTAATTTAGCAAATTACATTGAAAAATGTGTGTGCTGGTTCTGTAAATACTGTATATTAAGGTCGGCATTTTTCCACAAATCTTATGCAGGGAAAAGCACTGGCAAAACCTATTATTCTTTGTTATATGTAGTGATTATAGAAAGAACAGGTTTTAGTTTAACCTTTTTTAATAATAATTTAAAAAGATGATTATGGAAAGTTTTTAAAAATAACTGCCCATAATCCCACCAGCTTAGCATAGTGCTTCTGTGCATATTCTGTCTTCCTTTTGCTCTTCTCGTGACTTGAAATCTGTTTCTCAAAACTAGGTTTTTTTAAGGTACTGGGTCAGCTTACAGAGACTGGAGTTGTCAACCCTGAACAATTTATGAGTAAGTACTATACCCTCTTTTTCCTGAATGAAGAGAAAAAAAGGAAACAAGATTTTATTTTTGTTTAGAGCTCTGTTCAGTGCTTGTGGTTTTGTTCAAACAGCTGGAAGTTACTCAAATAACAAATTAGCTGTTTTCTTACTTAAATGTTTAATGTGGCTGAGGTGTTCTAGAATCCAAATGTAGTGATAATCTCGTTTGGCAAAACACCTGACTACTTTTAGATAACCACTATAGCATAGGACCTAGGTGGCAGCTCTATAGATTTTTCGTTTTTTATTGTGGTACAGGCAGTCCCCCAGTTACGGATGACCCAACTTACAGTATTCTGTTCTTATGAACAGGCTCCACATAAGGATAATCTATTAAATTAAATTAACAATTCGAGAACTATAATAGTTTCTTCTGCCCATGTAAACAAATCCACATGGCATAAGCGGTCTGTTGGCACAGCATCTATACACTAGTGGCTCAGTCTCATTGTTTATATTGTGTCTTACACATAGCATCGCTTTCATCTTAATTTTTTATTCAATTTTGTGAGTCTGTGTTTACCCTTACAACCATGCTTCCAGTCCACTGCAAGTCCAGGTAAGCCTGCATCGAAGAGAAAGGTGATTACAATGGAAATGGAGGTAAAAATAATTAAGCTTTCAGAGAAAGGCCAGATGCCATAATTCATTGGGAAAGCATTAGGCCTTAATTGCTCAGCCATCAGAACAATTATAAATGGAACATGTGAAAGGCAGTGCCCCAATGAAAGCAGCAATTATTACTAAGCAGCATCGTGGATTAAGTATTGAAGTAGAAAGATTATTACTGATTTGGTTAGAAGATCAAAATAAGTGTAACAATCCTATTAGTCTAGCATTGATGCAACATTAGGTGAGTGTTAACCTTTAATATTTTTTGAAATTCCTCCTATCTCCCATCTAAACTTTTTGTATGAGTTTGTTTTTGTGCTGTTCGAATTAAAAGAAAGAGCACAATCATTTCTGTAACTTATTATTACAGTATAGGGGTATTATTCTTATTACAGTGTTACACTGCATTATTATTACCAACTGAGCCGTTATGATATTGTTATTACTACCTTACATGTGCTGTTCATTAGGCATCTCAGTTACATACAACATATCTCATCCTTAACCCAGGGACTGCCTGTATTTCCTTTCATGTGGTCAGAGCTAGGTTATCACAGAAATTTCATCACAAAATCAAAAATGTAAGAATATATATTTAAAATTTTTTTTTGGTTCATTAATAAATTTTAAGGTTAGCAGGTATCTTTGTGTTAGTCCAACCCCCCTTTTGTAGACATATGAATGAGAAAATGGGAATCTAGAGAGATCCAGTGACTTATCCAAGATCACAGTAGTTGTTGGTAAGGAAAGGACTAAAACCTTCCTAACTCTATCCAGCACTCTAATGCTGCCTTTTCTTGTTTTCTATAATTCTTCATTTCCTTTTTTCTTTTTAACTTTTTTTTTTTGAGACACAGTCTCACTCTCTTGCCTGGGCTAGAGTGCCATGGCATCAGCATAGCTCACAGCAACCTCAAACTCCTGGGCTCAAGCAATTTTCCTGCCTCAGCCTCTTGAGTAGCTGGGACTACAGGCACGTGCCACCATGCCAGGCTAATTTTTTCTATTTTTACTTGTTTGGCTAATTTCTTTCTATTTTTAGTAGAGACGGGGTCTTGCTCTTGCTCAGGCTGGTCTCGAACTCCTGAGCTCAAACAATCCTCCTGCCTCGGCTTCCCAGAGTGCTAGGATTACAGGCGTTAGCCACCACACCTGGCCCATTTCCTTCCATAGGTAATTTTGTTTTGTGCCCTGACCCTCCTGAGAATGAAGACCACATTCCCTGATTCACATTGTTTTCCACTGAATTTATTTCTTCTTTCTACTTATCTAGAATGACACTCTGGAAATGAGAGACTATTCAGCTCAGTTTTTATTCCTGAATTCCTCTATGCATGCCTATCAGATTAGATGAGAAACCATGTTATTTCAGCAGTATAAGTATTCAAAATCAATTTAAGGGGAAAGTATCTTTGCTCCTATTTGCTATGTGACTTTGGAAAAATTACTTGGAAATGGAAAAAATTTTCACCTCCTTTGCAATGTACTTTCAAAGCAAACAAAAACAATGATTGTTTCTAAAAAGCCAGCCGTGTAATCATGAAACACTTGCTATCACAAAGGGAAGACTGAAAACTATACCAAAAGACTAAAAATTACAGAATGGTGCTGTGTGTAAACATGCTCTTGTTAAAATTTGCCAAGTTTTTGTTTTATTTGAATGTTTGTTGAGTGTAAAGTTTAAAGAAATCTATTTAATAATAGAGAAATTGGAGTTTTCAGTCATTCATCATAGAAATGGCAATATCTACAATTTACTTGTAAAGTGCTGTTCATCTGAAATCACTGTCTTTACTTTGCTAGCAGATATTTTAAATATGACTACATTCCAATTGATACCGATTGCTGATATTTCAGTCCTTTTTAGTAACGTAGTATTTTCTTTAAAAATGCAAAGTAATTATGGTAAAATAGCTTTAAATATTCAATAATTAAGTCAGTTAATCCTAGTAGTTTTCTAGTACCTAATAAAAATTGAATGTCCACTAGATAACACTTTGTTTTCCAATTTCCACAGAATCTTTTGAACATATGAAGAAATCTGGGGATTATTATGTTACAGTTGTAGAAGATGTGACTCTAGGACAGATTGTTGCTACGGCAACTCTGATAATAGAACATAAATTTATCCATTCCTGTGCTAAGGTACGTGCTCACATTTACACTTGTGAGTAAAATGGACAGGGGTTTTCTGGCAAAACTGAGTTTCCATTAGACAAATCTATTTTCTCACTGCTTTTCATTGCTTCTTAGAAATCGTTTAGTAATAGGCATTTTTCCCAGTGTGTTCTGAGAGCTTTAAGAAAGAAAATGTATTAACAGTATGAATTGTTTGCTAAAATTGTTCTGTAAGGTGTTAGATTTGAGAAACCAAGTGGTATCATGCAATTTCGCAGTAATGTGTAGAATCCCTAATGTTATTTTTTCAAAAACAATACTTTGAATATAGTGTATTAGCACAAATTTTTAGCCACTTTCAAGTAGTAAAATGGTTCAGAATACCATGTTCTGTTGTAATTGTGATACTTCTAATGCTTGTAGCACCCTTTCACCCCTCAGGAACTCACATGAAATAGTAAACAACAAAACGCCCTAGGTCACCCAATAAGAAGATAGGAACACTTGGAATGTGTTTTGTGAAGTTTATTAATTTTGGTGGGGTTTCTGTACTAGAAATTAATTTTATTTGGATGTCTAAAATAAATTGGCATGAAACAAGGAGCAGAATGATGGACCTACTATATTCATGACAAGATTACATTTTGGTGATGTAGATTTTGGTTATTTGCTTTAAATCAATGGGGTGGGGAGATTGGGGACATAACCAAAACAGATCAGGCCACAAGCTGATTCGTTACACTATTTCTTCTAATGAGTAAAAAGGTTGTTTTGTTTTTTTTTTTCTTTTTTGCATTTTGGTTTTTGTGAAGTTCAATGTTACAAAACATACTTATTTCTTTTTAATCAATAAATTCTTATGAACTCACTTGTTTTAGCTAAAACCAAAACTAGATGCTTAGTCTTTTAAACCTTGTAAATATTTTCAGAGAGGAAGAGTAGAAGATGTTGTCGTTAGTGATGAATGCAGAGGAAAGCAGCTTGGCAAATTGTAAGTAGGCAGAAACAAGGTAACCCTGGATGAATTATATTTTAGTTTATTTTCTTACCAAAATACTTGTTTTAAAAAGTTTTCCTGTTTGAGGTTCTTTCTGGGTTTCATTAATTTGGAACTGATTCTCACTCTATAACTCAGACTGAATTTAATGAATAAATAAAGTTTGATAATTGGAAGTATACTCCTTTCTAGATAGTAATGTCTTTAAGTTATCAACTTTTAATAGTAGTATTCTCACACTAGTAGGAAACAAACTTTTGGGGCTAGTCAGGTGATTTGCCTCAATTTCTGTCGTATTTAAAAACAAGATATTCAACTATTACAGAATAGTCTGTGATCTGTTTAGAAATGTATACTGAAACAGGCTTCACTGTATAAGCCTCTCTATACATTGCTCTAACTCTTTAAATGTAAACGCTTATTGCCTATTATTACTGCTTTTTAATATTATCTCTTGAGTTTTAAGGAATTCACTCAATAAATATTAAGCACCTGCTATGTGGTGGATACTACTCTAGATATTTGGAATATATTATCAAATACAACAGACTAATTTCTGGTATTCTAGTCCATTTAACTTAGTCATACCTTTTATAATTTTGTAACTTCAGTCAAGATCTTTAATTCCAAAATGCCATTTTTCAGTCTATTCAAATATGAGAAAAATCCTTCAAATTTTTGTAGATCTTTCATAGGTTTTATACTTTAATGCAGTTAGAACCACATTTTTATACTGGGCTTGGATTCTTTAGGGATTAGTAAATTTGTGTACTTTTTTGCTTTCTTTCCACTTCATATTAATTAGACCAATCGAGTTAATCTGATAGATACTTTCACAAATATTAAAGTAGCTTTAAAAATAAAGAAAAAAGCTATTATGTGTCCATTTTATGTGGGAATGTTGACTGCTCCTAAGTAGTTTAAATAGATTTAGAATAAAGACCTTACACAAATAACTTCGGCAATATTTTTAATTAAATAAAATAATTAATTAATTAGAGACAGAGTCTTGCTCTGTCACCTGGGCTAGAGTGCCATGGTGGCAGCCTAACTCATAGCAACCTCAAACTCCTGGGCTCAAGCGATCCTCCTGCCTCAGCCTCCCCAGTAGCTGGGACTACAGGTATGAATCACCATGCCCAGCTAATTTTTTTCTATTTTTCTATTTTTAGTAGAGACGGGGTCTCGTTCTTGCTCAGGCTGGTCTTGAACTCCTGACCTCAAGAGATCTTCTGGCCTTGGCCTTCCAGAGTGCTAGGATTACAGGCATGAGCCACCGTGCCCAGCCTTGCAATATTTTTTAAAAGGTTGTGTTAATATGAATGTATTAGTGTTACATGCATCTTAGTGTTAATATGAATCTTAAAATTTATTTTTAAAGAGGGTTTAGGGTGAGTTTTAGTATTTGTCCTCTTTAATAAAAGGCTGGAGATTACTAAAGTATATTTGAAACCAAATAAAAGTGCTTTGGGGATTTAAATGCTCATCAGTTACAATTTGAATATTTAAATGAATATAATGGGAAATGCCATGATCTAAACCTATTGTTAATAAAAACTGTAGTTTTAAGACATGAATTCATAGTTATAAAATCCATTTTAATTAATATATGTCATCTTCCCACCCTCCCCCTTTTTAAATTTCAGGTTATTATCAACCCTTACTTTGCTAAGCAAGAAACTGAACTGTTATAAGATTACTCTTGAATGTCTACCACAAAATGTTGGTTTCTATAAAAAGTTTGGATATACGGTATCTGAAGAAAACTACATGTGTCGGAGGTTTCTAAAATAAAAGTATTTTAAGAAAGAAAGTTGTCAAAGGCACTAATGCTACAAGGCTATCCTTTTCCTAGAGTTAAAATATTCTGTTGCTGCAACCCAGTGACCTCCATAAATACCAGATTGAAGAAAACATTGTAATACTGCAAGTATGATGTTTAGAAGATTACTTTGGGCTGGTGGGACATTCTGTGAGTTTAGATGACAAATGATTATTATAAAGGGGATGATTTTTAACCAAAGGAATATATTTTTAACTCGAATCTTTTCTTGCATTGTATTTTTCTAAATTCTGGCTTCATTTCTTGATAGTCAAAGAGTATGGGTAGTAAAGAGTATAGTCTGCTGTTTGTACTGCTTATATAAAAAAGTGTATGTTGAATAAGGCTGTTTCTTATAACATGCATAAAATTAAATATTTTTGTTTCAAAGAAACAGATCTAAATACACTTAGGGGCATATCATTTCCCACATAATAAATCAAGTTGGATAAATTAGTTATCACAACTAAATATAGTACAGTCCAGTATTTGTGGATCCTAACAGGCAAACAACCTCATCAGTAGAAGATGATTAACTTGTAAAATGCGACAAGATTCATAGTAAAATAATTGAAATGTTTTACTGAATGTTTACGTAGTTCTATGTAGATAAAGTACTACCTGTCTTCTCTGTGAAATATAATTACCATTTGTTAAAAATACCTAAGAGCAATTATAATGGGACATCTAAGGTACTTTTTAATAGTGAATTAGTAAATCTTGGCATATGAATTTCTACTCTCATTTCTTTTCATGAGTACCTGAAGCCTGTCTTCTGAGTAATATCTTTATGAAAATGGGATATTTATAAAATTGAGTGGAATACAGTGTTTATAAGTATATCATACTGTATTTTTCACATTCTTAAAATGTTGATGGAAGGTTTTCTTTGTAATATGATTATAATGGCACTATTATTCTGGTCATTATCCTGTTTTGATTTTATTTAATTATTTTTAAAGTTGAAGAATTACACTTTAACAGTTCTCATCTTTTGCATTCCATGTTATAATAAATATGTTCATGTGATGAATAGTCTTCTGTTAGAATCCTCTCTGGGTTTTTCTTGAATATTCTATTGAACTATTAGGTTAAGTCATGGTTCATAAAATTTGAGTTTTGTATTCTGTGTAAAGTGAACTTAGAAAGTAAAGACCATGTGTTTAGCATCCCTTTGACTCACACCACCACAACTGGATTTTAGATTTCTCTCCATGCAGTCAGCTAAAGTTGGCTTTCCAAAACAATTGAAAATCCTTCACCAATATAGAGTACACTTAATCTGCTTATGACCGATGCAGATGAACTGCTCTCTTTCCACTGAAAGCAACAAAGTTGGTTCTGTCTTTTCAGGAGCCTTACAACACTGGCAGATAGTAGTTTCTTAGGTAAATTCTGCTAATTAAAAATCCATGTTAAAAAACAGGCCTGGGGCCAGGCCCAGTGGCTCATGCCTGTAATCCCAGTGCTTTGGGAGGCTGAGGCAGGAGGAACGCTTGAGGACAGGAGTTTCACACCAGCCTGGGCAGCACAGCAAGAACCTGTCTCTACAAAAACAATTTAAAAATTAGCCGGGTGTGGTGGCACACACCTGTAGTCCTAGCTACTTGGGAGGCTAAAACAGGAGGATTGTGTTAGCCCAGGATTTTGGGGCTACAGTGAGCTATGATCATGTCGCTGCATTCCACCCCTGGTGACAAGGGAGACCCTGTCTCTTAAAAAAAAACCTAGTAAAAGGCAAAATTAAATGCTTTATTACATTTCTTACTGCTGAACAGTTTCAAGTAAAATTGTCTACAAGGTTGGTATTTCAATAAATCCCTTTAAATAGTGTTCTTAAGGTCTTCTCTTAAATCCCCTCAAAGGAAATATAGGTAGGGTTTAGTAAATAAAAATTGTGTCCTCGAAGACAATAGTGATCTGTATTTAGCTTTAGTTTAGTAACAGTATATTTATGATTTTCCAAGCCCTACTGTGAGTAAATCTGAGCATGAAAAAATGCTGTATAAAACACTTAATACATGAAGTACATTCACACTTTTGAGCATTCTTTGCTAATGAAAAGGACAGTGAAGTGGCAGTTGTGATTTTCTTACTGTGTCCCATGTTTTGTATATTTGTACTTCATTGACCGTAAGATGCACAATAACATCTCTGAAATCTGGATGCATTTTATGATCAATGCCTTGTCATAGTTTCGTTAGCAATATTTTGCCCTTTAGTGGTATCTAAAATGATGATGTAGTTGTGATAGAACCTTAGAGTTATTTGATGAAGCACCGATTATAGGTAGGCTAAGGGGGGGAAATGGTACTGTTAAAACAAGAAGTATTTTGTTAATGGGCTGGAAGCTGTTCTATGGATGACCTACTCTTTCCTTCAGAATTCCCTCACCTCCAACTACAACTTGGTCAACTAATCCTTAAAAATACTTGAGCTGGAATTTGAGGCTTGCATGGACTACTGACCATCCTTTTCTGTGTCTGTGTGACCAAAGTGCTTTGGAGAATACTCTTAAGTACTTTTCAATATCCAGTGTTTACTCACCCTTCTTAACCTGTGGGAGTAAAACTGGGTTACTTATATCTGGAAGGTTAACAATCTAAGTAAAGAAGTTCTGAAGCATAAGCAGTATGAATGAGCTTTTCAATCTTTTTGAGGTATAATGGCACAACAGTTTTAATACAACCACCAATCTTCACAAAATAATTTTAATACTTTGTGCCTGGGCTAGCAGCATCTTGCACTGTGACATTCCTATACATAAGCATTTTATCCAAGTACAAATGTTAAAAGCAGAGTAACTTAAGCAATTGCCTATACAAAGGTAAATAGACACTATAGTTATTTTTCATCTTGAATCATTTTTGCTGCATAGTAAATTGCAATTACATGTCAGTATAATGTTACTGATCTATAGAATACACTTTGAACTGTGAGGTATGGCAACTCCCTATGAGAGAGAGCTAACATGTAAACCTGAATATTGAGTGATTTTTTTTTTTTTAGCTGCCACAGATGGGAAACAAAACAAAACAAAACAAAAATCCAGCATTCAAAGACTCTAGAAACAAAAATCTTTTAGTAATTCTCAGCTATTTCCTATCATTTCCTTATTGGACCATTGTTGGATGGAAAAAAAAGTAAATACTGAAGTGAAGCTATGTTTGTTATGGGATTATGGATTAAATCAGTTATTTTAAAAAAAAAAGTCCGCCAGGTAACTGCTCATTTACTTTACATCAAGTTGAGATCCTGATATATACATCTCAACTTTATAATTCAAGATTTCAGTTAAATACTTCTAATTCACTTGAATTACCATGGTAATAAGACAATTAGAAACCTTATATTTTCTTAAAAAGGACATGCTTAACATTTTTCTGACATTACTTCTAAACTCAGATGAAGCACAAAATCCTTCCAAAATGAATATTCTGCTCTAAAAGTTAAGTGGTTGAGAGGTGGGAGCAAAAGCTATCACGGTTTAACATTTCCAACATAGAGCAGATACAAAAAAACAAAGGTAACTGCTGTTTAAACATCTAATAGCTAAGAAATCAACATGAACCAATGAACTCAAATTAGAAGGTAGGAATATTGACATTCCAGTTTGAATATTTTCAATATTTAAGTTTCATACTTTCAAAAGGGACAGTAATGCAGTTTCCCTATGTTTTGATGTAATTCCACTTTAACTTGTGCCCAGATTACATATTTAATGTTAAAATTGGGTGGTCACTCACACATTATTCAAATACTCTAGAAAATAAATCATGATTGGTTAAATTTATCATGGTTATCGATCATAAAACAATGGAAATAAAGGAATCACAGAAATGGAAAGGCTATCAGAAGAACTAGTTGAACACAGATTCAAGAAAAATCAAGCTTGCAATGTTCTTATATGAAAGAAAGAATAAACCTTATGTTTTGTCCACATTAGTACTGTATTCTGGATGACGACAGTCCCTTTTTCTAGTGTTTGTGAGAGACTATCATTAATATATAGTGCTGGGCAGGCACTTTTGTGACAACATAAATATTATAGTGGTTAAAAAGGTGGAAATTACCAGCTATAAAATAATACTCATAACCAAATACGTATTTTTGACCATACTAGAGAATATGTTTATGAAACTTATCAAAAAAAATCTTAACTGCCTCATTTTTAAAACCTAAATTCACTATTAGGACGATTCTTTTAAGCTGAGTTTATGCTGAATGAAGCATCACAGATTATTTTTAGATTATAAGAGATCTTTGCTGACCTATCCAATAGTGATCTATTTACAGGAAAGCTATGTTATCTGGTAACTTTACCAACTGGGATTTTTGAATACCCAATACAAATCTTGACTCCACTAGACCACTATACACCAGATGACCTAATCACACAACAGAATATCGGACCACAATGGGATTAACTATGTTTTCTGGGTGGTAAGAAAAGGAAAGGGAAATCAGAAGAGGAATACCACCTGGCTTAACAGGAATTAACTCTTAATTAACAGCAATTTTAATTTTCACTCTCCCACTATGTTGGATAAAAAAGCTTTTACTATATTATTACATCATAGGGAGGAAAGCAAAGCAAGTAACTTGTTGTAATAGGTTACTTTGCATAGTGCCTCTTGGTGACCAAGGGAATGGATAGAAATCGTTCCCATCAGTAAAGCACCTCAAGAGAGGACTGAGAAAAGTGAGACACAAAGGAGTTTTGTTTGTGCTACCCTAAAGTCATCAACTATAAAAAGTTAAAAACACTCTTCTCTTCCCTCACATCTTACTTAAAATAGCAAAAATGTTTCTCTTAGAACAATTTTTATACATATAAATAAAAACATGGAGAACCAAAGATCCATAAAGCAACTTTGCTAAAGAAAATTATGGGGGAAGTTTGGATTAACTGAATGTAAAGAACTGATTAAAATGCTAATTGAAAGTACACTAGAGTCTCCCACAATCACTTTCCCCAATAAATGCATGTTCAAAGAAAAGCTTCTGTCTGAGCTGGAACAATCTCACAGAATCATGAAGACAACAAAAAATGGAGTAAATGTGTTCCATATTCCAAATAATTTACTCAAGTCTCTTCAAGCCTCATACTTTCAGTTAACTAGTTTATGGTTTAAAAAGAAATTACAGAAAAATATTAAGATCTTTTCACTGTTCTACATACTAATTTAGAGGTCATGAGGATTTGATTATTATTTTCTTTTTAATGATGCAAGGCACTTTTCTTTTTTGGGCTTCATTTAGAAAAAAATTAGTGCTACATTGGTTTATTATATTCTATTTAGAATCATTTTAGATACAAGAAAAAAAGAGCTGGTCAACACTGAAAAGAACAAATACAAAATTTGGCTGTTACTACAAAAAAACAAAAAGGAAAGTCACTTGAAAATCCAACGCTATTCTTGTTTTTAAGCACTTTGTAAAGCAAAACATGTTCCTTTTATTATTAAAACTTGGTGGTTTTTTCTATAGAATAAACAAATTGGGAAGGTAACGGGCAAGCAGTAATTAGACCATGTTAAAGTAGAGATAGTTGGGTAGTGTCATGATATAAAGATCATTAAGGGGTCAAGAAGTTTAAAAAACAAAATAATCAAGCTATTGACTTACACTAAAAAAGAAATGTAGCAGACTCCTGCATTTTGTTAATGTTTCTGTAAGAGGCTCCATAATAAAACTGAACTGTAAAATTATTTTTAAAATGTTACAGAACAAAAAATGAATTTTTAGCAAACCTTAGGAAATTCTTGTTATAAATTACCCAAACTTTATAAACAAATCCCCCCTAACTTGCATTTTGTTTAAAGTAATAACTTTATATCATAGAAATAAATTTCAAGTATGAAAAGTGCATTATTGCAATAATACCTCTTTGCAAGTCCAAAATTCTTGGTTTATAATAAAACTTGTAAAGTGTTTTTTTTAAAAAAGAAAAAGGAGTAAAACCATCAGTGCCATCTATTGCAGACATCCAACATCTTAAAATGTTGCTTAACAAGTTGCAGAGAAACATGTCTGGAAGCAACATACAATTGAAACTACTTGTTTTTACCATTTTACATTGTTATTGTCTCTAGTATTTTCTCCTTCCCCAATAGAAATTCAAATTCTATAATTTTGCTCTTCAGTCAGCCATTTTGTGCAGTTGCCACTTGCATATTTCCAAAATCATCATCTTCTTCATGTGTTCTCTTCAAACTGCCTAAAAATTATTGCATGAAGATAACATAAAATGGAAACTTAAATAAATTCATGTTAGAATGTTACAGCCAGTAAAAATTTGTTTTTCATGATGTGATACCACATAAACACTATGAAAATTCCCTGAATGAATTTATAGCAAACTTTAGTAAATTCTTTTGTTATAAATTACGCAAATAAGTTTTTTTTTTCATGACAGGATATATTTTCCCTCCTGAGAATTAAGTATGCCTTAGGTATTGCATATAATAAACAATTTTTAAAATATAGACCCTTTAAAATGATGATACATCAATGTTTGGTTACCAAGCTTGTGCTTTTTAGGCACCATAAACGTGACTTACGACATAAGATTTAAGAAATGAATCTTATATTTATATGATTTTTTTATGATGATATAATTATCTTTTTGCTTTCACAGATACTACCATGAAGAGTAGCTGAAAATACTTTTCCACTGAAGCTGTGGCTTTTATTACCAACGAGTCTAGGGTTGGAAGGCACGTAATAGATGAAGAGATTTGCTTTTACCTACGCTTTACATCAGAGTCTGCTAAATACAGAAATTTCCTACGTAGAATCAAAACTATCCCTATATGCCCAACAGTTATAATCAAGAAATTTGAGTCTCAATGGAGGAAAACTTTAGGGAACAGTTAAACTGGCAGAGGATCTGCTGTGTTTTTTGCCTAACAACGGCATGGCCTTAAACTTACACCCTAAAAGTTGTGTTAACTCATGGTAATAATGTTAATTCAGAGGGCAGATTCTAACATTAAGCTGATATTTCACTGTAAGATTAATAAGGATAAAAATGTAATAGCAATACAAAGGATAAGCTGGAAGAAAATATCCTGGCCATTAAGCTAAATCCAGATGCTGTGATTAAGTTTCAGATGAAGTGCTGTGCTTCTGTGAGAACTCCAAATGATTTGGAGTTGGAGGAGAGTGTGTTAATCCCTGAGAAGATGACATCTGAAGCAAGCAATAGGGAAACTGAATATGATTCATTTTAGGTGGAGAAAAGAAGATACACACAGGAAACCATCACTAGGTTCAGCTTTCTGGAGTACAGATTTAAAGAGAAACAATAAGAGATAGAAATTGAAAGATCAGAAAGGCCTTTACCACCTCTGGCATTGTATATATTTTCTTCTGTAGGAAGGAAGCCAATGAAGACTTTGGCAAAGGAAAAAGATATCATTATTGGAAATATCTTTCATGAAAATAAGTCTGGCCACAATGTACAGAACAGACAAAATAGCAAGAGTTTGGAAAGAAGTCCAATCTGGATCTGAACCAGATTAAGGTTACACTAAAATTTTAGGAAGGAATTTTAAAGACATTGATGAAACAGACCTCATTGGATTTGGAAAGTAATTAGACAGAGGTGGCAAAGACAAGAAAAGAGTCAATGATAACTAGGAAGTTGAGAGTGAGGGAGGAATATATAGCCTTCAGTATAGGCAGCACAGTACAGTGGAAAGAATTCTATACTTTTGGATCAGATCACCTGTCCTCAATTTCCAGGTCAATACTAACTAGTGTTAACTTTGAAAATGAGGGGGTTGGGATACTTCTGAAATAGCAAAGGAGGGGAGAAAGGATTGAAATATTCATGGCAAGAGAGAAATAGAGGTAGTTCACATCAGTCACTCTACTGAACTTGAAACATGTTTTCATTTATTAATCACCCTTTATTTTTAATAAGATCACCTAAGTGTGTGTTTGGCGTGCCTTCTCCAGACTCCTCTTAGTATGTTAATCTTTTCAACACAGCTATACTACTTAAGAGACTTAAAATTAAACCAAGTAGATATCTGATCTTCCAACCAGCATATCCTAATTGATGAGGCACAATTTACAGTGGTATACACACAGCAGAAGCTCATTATAATACACATTTATTCATCGTAAAATTAATCCTTTTGAAATTATCTTAATTCAATACCTTACCAAAAGTTTTCTAAACAATTTAAATAAACTTTCTCCTGAGAGAGAAAATCCTTACCTGTGGTTCCAGAATGAACAGATAAAGATCTTTCTATCTGGAGTGGTGACATCATCTGTATTGTCAATTTTGCTAGGTAGATGGCTTCATATTCCTAGAAAAGATTATAATTAACTTGAATATACATTTATATTCTTGGATACTCAGTGATTAATGTGTACATTATTGGTATTCTTAGTTTACACTGAAAAATCTGGTGCCATATTATTGTAAGAGAAATGGAGGTTTAAAATTCCTACCTCATATTAGTAATTTCACAACTGTCAATAACTATAAATTGAGTCAGGCCAACAGCTTGCACTAGGGTATTGCACATTGAACTGCCAGTCAATATGTGTCCTCTGCCACTGGGGCATTAAGCTATAATGATCTCTGACTTCATCTGTTAAAAAAAACCAAAAAACAACCAAAAACCAAAACTGGCAATCTCAGTAGTCCTCTGCTCCCAGTTAAAGATGGAGGAATAAAGGCATTTTTGTTCCTCTCCCCTTTCTGCAAACAAGGAAAACATTTGATGAAACTAGGAAACATCCATGACCTTGAATAGAAGAATGAGAAAAGTAAGGAAGTGATTACCACATGGGTCAGGATAGTGGTTATTGTAACAAAAGGAGAGAGTTGTACTTGGAAGAGGCATCAAAAGGACCTTTGTAGTATTGGTAAACATCTAATTTCTTGACTTGGGTGATGGCTGCATGGATGTTTATTTACATTTTATGCATTTTTCTATGTGTATTATATTCCACAATAAAATTTTCGAAAAATGGAACCATACTAAGTGAGGCACAGAAGATGCCTGTCTGCAGGTATCAGACAGAGCAGGTACAGTTCATAGTTCTCTAAAAAAGGTGGCAGAACTAAAATAAAACCAACAAGCTCTTTCATAGTATGACAAAGTCAGGAAGTATGAGTGGGCTATAGGAGGAATCAGGGCATACTAAGGAAAACGTAAACACCCACACCTGACGTTTTTGCAAGAAGCAGCTTGTAAGTATAGTAAAGCGAAGAAACTGGGATGCTCGTATCCAAGCATCAACTGATCTTGGATAGCTAAAAGTAAAGGCTAAACCAGTAATTCTAGTCTGGCGATACAGGAGAATCACCTGAGGCACTTTAAAATCTATATAGCCAGGCCCCATATTCACTGATTTTCATTAAGGAATCCCAGGTGACACACGTGTATCCAGTGTTTATCAATTTAAAAAAAACAAAGCTGTGACACAGGCACTCTGCTTCTTACTTAGAGAGTCATGCCACTGGAGAAAACTGGGAAAATTCAAGCTATCTCCTTCCCCAACCATTCCTCTGGCCCCTTCCCTACCACATTTTTCTTGAGCAAATAGCTAATCTAAGAAGAATACCCTAAGTTGAAAGATGAACAATAACCAAAAAGGAACCAGTGTAGGTCTTAATCAAAGTTTTTGCAAGGTAAAAAAAAAAAAAAAAAAAAAGGAACATTATAACCAAAAGGCATAAATAACACACCATGAAAATTACACCATGAAGCAGACAAAAATTACAAACCAATCAAAGCAAATATGGCTATTATGGGACCATCTGCATCCCCTCAAAATTCGTATGTTCAAGTTCTAACCCTCAATGCGTTGGTATTGAGAGATAGGGCCTTTGGGAGGTAATATGGTTAGATGAGGTCATAAGGGTAGAGCCCTTATGATGGATTGGTATCCTTATAAGATATAAGGATACTATGCACCCCTGCCCCCTTGTGAGGACACAGCAAGAAGGCAGCAATCTTCGAGCCAGAAGGGCCCTTACCAGGAAATGAATCAGCTAGCACATTGATTTTGGACTTCGCAGCTTCCAGAACTGAGAAATAAATGTGTTTCTTAAACCACCCACTCTGGTATTTTGTTACGGCAGCCTGAGTTGCCTAAGCCAATGGCATTTCTGAAATGAGTTCAAAGAAGAGATAAAAGGACTCATGGAAGAAATACAACATCAGAAGTAGATGACATATCAACTATCTAAGCTCAACAAAGCAATGGAAGAGAAAAAATACAAAGCCACAGAAATAATGAATAGTAAAATCAACAAAGAGAATAGATCATACCATGCAGTTCTGGCAAAATATTAATTTCTTTTCTTCTAGATTTTTCTAATTTGCACACAGATAGGCTATACTCTTCCATCCTAGAAAACAAACTCTAAACCCTAATTCTGCCTCTCATTACTATTTCTGTTTTTCGCTTCAAAGCAAAATTCCTAGAATTGTCTATCCTTCCTGCTTAAATTCCCTTTTTCCCATTTTTTCCTTGAACTCTCTGCAATTATGCTTATCCTCCCCTGCTTCAAAAAAACTGCAAGGACATAAATGACCTCATTCAGTAAGTGGCAACTCCTCTTCCAATTGTTCAGACTAAAAGGCTTTAGACTCATCCTTACTTCCTCCCTTTTAGAAACAATATTCAACCTAACAGCAAATCCTATCATCTGTACCTTCAAATAAACCAAGAACCTGATCTCTTCTCACCTGGTCTCCTGCTACCACTTTGGTTTAAACCAATATTTTCTCTTCACTGGATTAATCCAATAGCCTCCTAACTAGTCTGCTTACTTTTTGCCCTTGCCCCCAGTTCTCCCAATAGTTTACAGTCACATAGTAGTCAGAATGATCTTTTTACAAGAAGTCATTCCTCTATTTACAATAAAAGTGAAAGGCCTTATGTAGAATGGCCCATAAAGGCCTCCATATGTGGCCCCTTACCTCTCACAGATCTCATCCCCTATATCCCATTTGCTTACTTTGCTAGAGACATACTGACCTTTTCACCATTCCTTGAAAACACTATGTATACTACTACCTCAAGGCACTTAAACTTATTATCCCTCTACCTAGAATGCTTGCCCCCAAATATGTGCATTTCTTCGGGTCTTTGCTCAAATATCACTTTCTCAGTAAGGACTTTTCTGATCACCCTTTTAAAAATGCAGTTCTTGTCCCACCCTCCTTATTTGGCCTTATTTTTCTTGGACTCAATTATATCTGACCTACTACATTTTGTTTGTTGTCTGATTCTCCCACTAAAATAAGCTTCATGACGTCAAGGATTTCTGTCTGCTTTGGTCTCTGCTTTACTGCCAGTGCCTAAAACAGTGCCAAATAAATGTTTGATAAAACAATGCAGCATGAGACATGGAAGACAAACTTGAGAAAAATCAAGCTGAAAGAAAAAAGAACAAAGTTGAAAATAATTACAGAGAAAATGGCAAATATGGAAGATAAAATGGAACCAACATAAACTACACTGGGGAGGGGACAAAATATGAATCAGAACAACAACAAAAATGGGAAATACATAAGAGAAGAAAATTTTCCTGAAATAAAGGAAGGCTTAAATCTGCAAGTGGCAAGGGCACACTATGACTCAGAAAAACTGATACAGAGCAATCAACAAGATACGTCTTAATAAAGCATCTTATGCTCATCTATACAACAACCTCCCTCTGCTCCAAGTCAAGTAATCTAAGAAGGAAAATTTTAAAAATTGGTCTGTCCCCAGACTTCTCTAAAATAATAACTTAACATCAGGACTTGTGTCCAAAGCCATCAAGGAAAAAGTATTAAAAAGTTTTAATCTAGCCAACTGTCATTCAAACATAAGGGCAACATTTGAACTTCAAAGAAAAAACAAACATAAAGGCAGCAGAAAAATATTTTCCAATATGCAAAGACTTAGCTATTCTTGAAAATAGCACTCGAAGAGAATTGGTTGAATCTTATTAAATGTATAACTAAGGATAAACTAGAGAATATGATTATAGAACATTTTATAACAATGTAGATAGAAAAGGTACAATTTTGAGAAATATAGGAGGTAGTATAAGTAGATAATTCTACACTGGTTGAAACTATTTAAAACTGTTAAATAACAAGAAGTATAATATTTAAATATTTAAAAAAGTATAGCAGTGGAGGAAAGGGAGAAAAGAAGTAGAGGTATATAACTTTTCATTTTTTCATAGTGGAGAATCAACTGCTATTTACATTGATAACTTAAGAAACAAACATTTAGGCCGGGCATGGTGGCTCACTCCTGTAATTCTAGCACTCTGGGAGGCCGAGGCGGGAGGATTGCTTGAGCTCAGGAGTTCGAGACCAGCCTGAGCAAGAGCGAGACCCCATCTCTACTGAAAATAGAAAGAAATCAGCTGGACAACCAAAAATATATAGAAAAAATTAGCTGGGCATGGTGGTGCATGCCTGTAGTCCCAGCTACTTGGAAGGCTGAGGCAGGAGGATCACTTGAGCCCAGGAGTTTGAGGTTGCTGTGAGCTAGGCTGACGCCATGGTACTCTAGCCCAGGCAACAGAGTGAGACTCTGTCTTGGGGGGGAGGGGACAAAAAAAAAAAAAGAAACAAACATTTAAACATATATAAAATTATAATTGTATCCATTAGAACTAAAAGCAATTTAAAACCTTAAAAATTATCAAAAGAACAAAAACATATCAAGAATGCAAACTATAGCAAAAGGTTTAAAAAAGGATGTATTTGAAACAGAAACCATAATATGAAATCAAATGGTGGACAAAAGCGTATCTGTCATTTTCAGTAAGTGAAAGTGGGATAAATTCACCTATTAGAGAAAAGGTGACATTGGATCAAACAGCAAAACTTTACCATAGGCCATATTCAAGAAACGCATCTAAAACAAAGTGATTTAGAAAGGCTGAAAGAAAAGGAATGGGAAAACAGGCAAATGCAAGCAAACAAAGTAGTGTTCACGATAATAATAAACAAGGATATTGCAAGGTAAAATAATTGAAATAGAAAACAGTACTACTAAAATGAAGACTTAACTTGAGGTTTTATATACCAAATAATAAATACGGCAACAAAATTGGCAAAAAAAAAAAAAAACTAGAGTGAATAAAAAACAAACATAAGATAGTAATATATTTCAATTCACCTCTCTCAGCCCAAGACAGATCAAGTGGACAAATATATTGAACTTTATCCCTGAAAACAGAGAATACATCTTCTTTTCAAATGCCCATGAAATTCATAAAGACAACTATATATTAGACCACAAAGGAAACTTAAAAAAATTCAAGAAGTATTAGCAACCATTGTGATTAAAATTTAATAAAACTAAGTGCAAACAAAAATAGTAATTATAAACCCTGTCACCTATATATACTGTTAAGAAAATTTCTTCAACACATTAGATAAAAATAAAATGAAAACCGAACTCACAGAGTATCAAGCTATAACAATAAAAATAATGCATATCAGAATCTGTAGCATATGACTAATGCAATGCTAAGAGGATGATTCATAGTCTTGAATTCTTTAATGAATGAAAAGAATAGCAGCAGTAGCAACAACAACAAATCCCAAGGAAAGCATCAAGCAAGTAAAAATCTGAATACAGAAAAATGACATGGACCAACTAGATTTAAAAAAAAAAAAAAAGAAGAAAGCACACAAAATCAGAAATAAGAATGGAAAAATAACCACGGAACCAGAAGATACTAAAATACAAGATATTATTTTCCTTAAATCTATGTAGAACACTTATGAATGATTATACAGAAGATTATAAAATCATCCAAAGTGACCTGAGGAGTATCAGAAAATCCACTAATCCACCAAATAAATAAAGCTGTCTGAGAACTAGCCCACTCTTAAAATATATGAAATAATGAATAACTGAATTAAATAAACACATTAAGTTCAGACATTTTCACAGGTGCTGTCTACTAATGCATCAAGAAACAGACACTCCAATCTAATTTAATTTGTTCCAGGGCACAAAAGAAAGTAGAGCTTCCATTTTAAATATGAAAATGCTGTGATAGATACTAAGGGTAGTACAGAAAAAAAATTACAAACCAGTATAACTTACTAAACTGATTCCAAAATCCTGAAAAAAATATTAGCAAATAGAATCCTGCAACATACTAGGAAAAGAGTCTACCATAACCAGTGGGATCCATTTCTGGACCAAAAGGATGATTCAATATTAGGAAATCTAATATGTGATCCAGTAATTCAACTTACCATATTAATGGCTCAAAGGAGTAAAGTTAGTCATTCCATAAACACTCTTTTAAAAAAAAAAAAAAGGCAAAAATCAATATCTATATCTGATAAAAAACTCTTAACAGAGGAATAAATAAATACACCCACCCCCACAACACTAGAACCACTGGCATTAAAATCAAGAATAAGCGGGCATGGTGGTCTGTGGCTACAGCCCCTAGCTACTCCGGAGGCTGAGGCACAAGGACTGCCTGAGCCCAAGAGTTCAAGTCCAGCCTGGGCAACATAGCAAGACCTTGTCTCTCCCCCCCAAAAAAAAGAAAGAAAAAAATAGTATAAGCATTATCACCAGTATTACTTATCATTGTTCTGATACAATGAACATCCAATAAAAAAGAAGTAAAAATTAAATTGGACCCCAAGGTGGCAAAATTATGATTTGAAATGAGATGAAAAGATAATCAACTGAAAAATTTTTTAGACTCAATTAAGAGTTTAGTACATTTGCAACTGAAAACTTAATAAAAATTAATAGCTTTTCTATATACAAATAACCATGTAGAAAACGTACTGGAAGAAAATATAATTTCACTTATAATGGGAATAAAAGAAAATACCTAGGAATAAATTTCATAAGAGATGCTTATGTTCATACAAAGAAAACTTCAAAATTCTAAAGAGCACAGAAGTTGACCTGAATAAATGAAACAATCTCAGAGAAGACTAAAAATTTAAAGGTGTCAATTCTTTCTGAACTATAAATGTAGAGACAGTATTATTAAAAATGCCTACAAGACTCTTTCCAATAAAGTTCACACCAGAAAATAACTGTAGGAACTCTTCAGGAAAATTCTAGAACATTTAGTGAGGAGCTCTTGAGCCATCAAATAAATTATTTATATAAAATTACTGTATTTTTAAACTGATACAGATGCAGCAATAAACAGATCAGGATACAAAGACCAGAAGTAGACCCAAACAAAGATCAGAATTTGGTATATAATAAAAATGGTATTTCAGGCAGGGTGCAGTGGCTCAGGCCTGTACTTCTAGCACTCTGGAGGCCAAGGCAGGAGGATTCCTTGAAGTTAGGAGTTCAAGACCAGCCTGAGCAAGAGTGAGACCTCATCTCTACAAAAAATAGAAAAATTAGCTACACGTGGTGGTATGCACCTACAGTCCCAGCTACTGGAGAGGCTGCGGCAGGAGGATTGCTTGAGCTCAAGAGTTTGAGGTTGCAGTGAGATATGATGCTACTGCAACTCTAGCCAGGGTGACAGACCAAGACTCTGTCTCCAAAAAAAAGTATTTCAAATCAGTGAGCTAACATTAGATTTCCTTAATATACAAAGAGCTCTTACAAACCAGTGAGAAAAAGACCAACAACTTGATAGAAAAATGGGCAAAGAACACCAACAAACAATTCACAGAAAAATAAATACAAATAACCCAAACGTGGGAAAGGATGTTCAAACTTATTCAATCAACAGGAAGCAAATTAAACCATGAAGAATTGCCACTTTTACCATCATGATAGCAATGATCAAAAAATTTGGTGAATGATTTTTGGCTACTGGTATTAATTAGGGCAGGAGGAAAGAGTCATTCCTTGTTTCCTGTTGGTGTAAATTTACACTATTTCATCATTTTAGAGGCAATTTAGAAACATCTATCAAATTTCAAATGTAGTCTAACCCAGCAATTCCACTATAATCAATTATCTTACAGGTATACTCACACATGTACACAAAGATGTACTTATCAGGATATTTTTCCACTACTGTTTATAATCATGAAGGGTAAAAACCACCTTAAGATCCTTAAATAAGGAATGGGTTGTACAAAATCGTGATGCATATGTATTCTACAAATATTAAGCAGGTAGAGCTATTTGAGCTGTTATAGAATGATCTTCAAGAAACACTGTTAAGGAGACTTACTTTACATTGTATTCTCCTTAGGCAATGCTGAATTTTAATTTTTTTAACTACATGCATATTTTATTCTTTCAAATACAAAAATTAGTTTTAAAAAACATGGTAGGCCGGGTGTGGTGGCTCACATCTGTAATCCTAGCACTCTGGGAGGCCGACGCGGGCGGATGGTTTGAGCTCAGGAGTTCGAGACCAGCCTGAGCAAGAGCGAGACCCTGTCTCTCCCAAAAATAGAAAGAAATTAATTGGACAGCTAAAAATATACAGAAAAAATTAGCCAGGCATGGTGGCGCATGCCTGTAGTCCCAGCTACTTGGGAGGCTGAGGCAAGAGGATTGCTTGAGCCCAGGAGTTTGAGGTTGCTGTGAGCTAGGCTGACACCCGGCACTCTAGCCCGGGCAACAGAGTGAGACTCTGGCTCAAAAAAAAAAACATGGTAAAAGGCAAAGAAATTTATAAAGTTAGTTATTTTCATAATCTATAATATAAATTTAAAAAAGCATTTTACATAAACAAGTTGAAGATAGACACACCACTGTTTCTCTTTTGAATTAAGTAAAAATTAAAAGTAAATTAAATATTTAATTTTGGTAACTGAAACCCATTGTGCAAGCTCTTGATTATGTCAACTTTATTCCTGCATAAGTGGATGTAATTAGCTAGAGCACATTGTTCAGCCTGTGATTTTCTCTCTTAAAAAATACTGAATACTTTGTCTAATCAGATTAATTCAGAGGTTTATGTTGTTGTTTTATTCAGTATGTCAGCCAAGCATCAACAAAATTTGAAATAAGATGGGAAAGATAAACATAGAGAATAGAAAAAGCTGCTATATTTAGTATGCTTAAAACTCTCTCTCATCCTCTGTATGAGCAAAATGGAGAAAATTTAGAAATTTTTAATTATCTTACTTAAGGTTTAACAATATGCCTTTAACCCTTTTTTTCCTTGGCTATGGCAGCTTTTAAAAGAATACTCTTAAGTAGAGATGTAAGCTTGAATAAAGAATCAAATTAGATTATGGCAATTTAAAGTAAATTCTATACCTAAATTACATGGACAAAAGATCCTAAGTAATTTACTTTCTGACTGCCTTAAAGAGGAAGAAAAGTGAAGTTACCTGAAGTTGATGGACAAATCCGATATTAGGATTAATACAGAATCTTCTTTCTTGAACATAAGCAAATGCCTCTCTTAAAAAAGAAAAAGAAAAAATTAATGTGATGGCATTATTTCATGAACTAAGTTTCCCAGAATTTACCTAAAAATTTATCTAAAACAGGAAAGCACAATTATACAGCTTAACAGAAGTGATCTGTAGTAGAAAAAGTATGGTCAGACTAAATATCACAATCCCTCTGCTGATGAGCTGTGTGTCCTAGGGGAACTTGCTCACCTTCTCTAAACTTTATTTTTCTTATTTATTTTCACTATTATTATTGACAAGATTCCCAATAATATAGAGAATATATAAAACGTGAACTCCATCAATGCATGTTAACTTCTTTTCAATTAAATAGAACACTTGTATTCAATTAATATTCCTTTAAGAACTGACACTTTTAAGCAAAATTTTCTGTTACAATTTAAACATAAAGGGGGAGTGAAATACAAAAAGGTGTGAATGATTACTACAAGATTTTTAACTGGTATAAGACAAACTGAGAAAGGAAATACCATACACTAACCAGATTTCTGCTTTGTTTTGGGGCAAAAATCTCATGATCTCCCCCTTTAAAAATCTATGTAGTATACTTGCAAAAGATGATTTTTGATAACAAAGACTACCCTGAACTGTGAATAGATGCTACAAACAATTCCTAGGTAATTTTTCATCCAACTATTGTTAAAGAAGAGCATAATAAATTAGCTTTTAAACAAGGCAAACACTAACACTTATGTCTAAGTGTTTGTAAACACACAACCAATTCCCTGTGATTAATCCACCAAAATGGGTTAATCCACCTTTGTTACCTTGGCTTCTTAAAATAACAAGTTAGCACTAGCTCCACAAAACCACAAAAATATTAGCCTAAGCAGATATATACAGGTAGATGAATTAGAGAATAACCATGGGATAGAGGGTCTGCCTAATCAAGAATGACTATATGAAAAAATTGGGGGAATATTAACTTCAAACTCCCAAGCCATTTCTATTAAGTTTCATTTTAATGAGAATTTAAATTGTGGCTAGGTTTCAGAGTACTTTCTTACCTGTACTTCATTCCAAATGTTTCCATAATGTATGCAATAACAAACGCAGCACTGCAGAGGGAGAAAAAATTTTTAGAAAAAAACAGAAAGACAACTCACTAATTAAATGATACAGAAAGATTATCTCTAACTCCATACCTTCTGGAGATCCCTGCATTTCCATGCACAAGAACTTTTCCTGAAAAACAATAAAGTTATTTTGATAGAAAAACACCTGAGTCAGTGGCTGAAATATATTGAAACCACATATCACACCACAGTAAAATAAATCTTTGTTATTTTACATCATGTACATACCACTTGGATATTTATTAATTTTCAAACTTTTGTAATTTATTTATGTTGTGTAGAAAATACAACAGACTTGTAGATTAAAGAAATTTAAAGCTCACAGAGAATTTGAAAACAGTTCTAATAGGGATACTTAAGAAAGCTTATCCAAATGAAACAAGTAGTTGGAAAAATACAAATTTGGGTGTAGTCTAACATATAATTACAACTTCCACATCCTGGATTTAAGACAAATACCAACTAAAAACTTAACAAACAAATAATCTCCTAAAAATAAACATTAGCTAAGTAAAGAAAATATCATTTACCTCCAGTTTGTAAGCTCTCATCAATAAATTCTTTACTCTGAAGGCAAAAGACAATGTGTTATAATAAAACATGTGGATTACCATAAGCATAAAATACATATAAGGAATAAAATGAAATCCATTGAGAACAGTTTCCTAATTCATAAAAAATTCAAAAATTATCTTGATTCAAGAATTTGCAAAATGCTACAAATAGAATTATTATAAGTAAAAAAAATTATGCAGGGGCTAAAATTTAATTCAAATCTAATAAATTCAATGTGTGATTTCTCAAATTTTTGGAGATCATAAAAATATTTTCTACAAATAATTTTCTTTAAAAAATAATCACACAATTTTCAGTCATAACAAAGTAAAAGAGGTAAGTTTTAGAACCGACAATTAAGATGTCATATCATAAATAAATGTAAATGATATTTTAAAAATACTGATACCTACCATAGGGAAAAAACGTATTATATTTTCAACTGGATTATCTGCAATATCCAAGACTAAATATCTGAAAATAGAATATTTTGTGATAAGCACACTTTAAATAAAACTCTTTATGTATAAAAAATTAACTTTTAATATTTTTTGGTAACCATGAAAAGAATGCAAAACAACACTTGAAATACCATATTCCCAAGAACTGGGTCATACATTTTATACTGCTTGAGGGAATATAATCTTAAACATTTAAAGCCTTAATCAACATGTTAATATCTCTGGTATTTTAGTATAAAACAATCCATATAGTTAAAACAGAAAAAAAAACCAAAACCAAAACACAAGCAGGAATAAAACTTTCCTCTAGATCAGAGTGGACCTAAAAAAAAAAGACAAAAAGTACCCCTAATGGTTACCATTCTTCTATTTCTACCAATTTCCCTAAGACCAGGAAATTGTTCTCTAAGTGGTCCTGTGACCCCTCCTCATAACCCTACAGAGGACATTTCAAAGAAAATTCAAAGTCTGAATTAGAAGGAGCTAATAAAAACAGAAGGTATTTGACGGAACTGTTTGTTCATGAGTCAAAGATTCATTGTTTGAACTAATCTTTAGTAAAGCAAAAAACAGCTAAGAGAACACCTAAGTTGAAATTTTATACTTTAAAAAACATTTAAAATAAGGCATTATTAATATGCTAGGCTTATTTTATTTTGTAAAAAACTTCAATTTCTAACCTAAGATCACCTGTTTATTAACACAACTGTAGGTAATTAACTCAGTTATGAAATCAGTTTATAAGGTCAATTTTGCTTTAAAAATTACAGTTCTTCAATGATCATTTAGGTGTTAACAACTTCAAAAAATTCAGGGCTTAATACAGAGAAGCTGAAGCTCAGGATCTGAGGAAAATCCAATGTTCGACCCATGTGAATTCTGACAAAAACTATATCCTAAAGTGATTGAGTAGCCCTGTTGTATCCAACAATGCTTCGGAGAAAAAAAAGTCAAACTAAAATATTTTAATGCATGCCATTTTCAATGTCACAAACTTCTAGTAGAACTATCAATCTATAAGGAGCTAGTATTTTTAAGTCTAAGGAGAAATGGTTCTTCCATCAGGATAAAGAACCTGTTCTGGGAACATTTGGTTAATCTCAAATTAAAACTACATAAGACACCATATTTAGGCCGGGCGTGGTGGCTCGTGCCTGTAATCCCAGCACTCTGGGAGGCCGAGGCAGGAGGATCGCTTGAGCTCAGGAGTTTGAGATCAGTCTGAGCAAGAGCGAGACTCTGCCTCTACTAAAAATAGAAAGAAATCAGCTGGATAACTAAAAATATACAGAAAAAATTAGCCGGGCACGGTGGTGCATGTCTGTAGTCCCAGCTACTCGGGAGGCTGAGGCAGAAGGATTGCTTGAGCCCACGAGTTTGAGGTTGCTATGAGCTAGGCTGACGCCATGGCACTCTAGCCCAGGCAACAGAGTGAGACTCGGTCTCAAAACAAAAACAAAAACAAAAAAAAAAACCCCAAAAAAACGACACCACATTTAATCCATCAGACTTGGAAAAATATTAAATACTTTACAATTCTGTCTTGGAGAAATACCAAAGGAAAAGTCACTCTCACACACTTGATAGAGGAATGGAAACTGACACAACTCACTGAAGGGCAATTTGCGACATCTACCAAAATTTAAAATGCTCATATTCTTAGAACCAACAATTCTATTTCTACAAATTTATCCTATCAATATACCCATATATGAATTAAACAACATGTACAGGGATAGTCATTATACGCTACATATATTAATAAAAGTCTGGAAACAATGTAAATGTCCAACAATAGAGTGACTAAATTTTAGTATAGTCATACAATGGATTGTAATACAACTTAAGAATAGAGCAGCTTTATGTAAGTACTGATATGAAACGATCTCCAAAAAATATGAAGTAAAAAAAGCCAGTGTAAAAAATGAAAGTTATCTATAAGACTATGCTCATATATATAACTTAACACCGGAAGGATACTCAATAAAGGGGTAACAGTGTGTGACTCGAGGGAGAGGAACTGAATATCTAGGGGATAAGAATAAGGAAACCTACTTTTCAGTACATTCTTTTGAACCCTTAGAATTCCACATTATGAGAATGAATTATTTAAATATTTTAAACAAAATTTATTTTAAAAATTATGCACTCGATGATCCATCTTTAAAAACTGGATTTGTACAAAAGAAAGTCTGATGGTATAAAATCTGAAATAAAACTTCATTGAATGTTTGCTACCTTGAACATGTTTTATAAATCACAGCAATAATTCTTACCTAAATAATTGTTGAAAGTTTGGTTTAATAAAGTTTGCTTCAATATTTTGTCGTATGCATATTATATGGGTTATTCCATGTTTCTGTAATATAGGTAGCTGTAAAAAAAAAAAAGAAAAGAAAAAAGGGGATGGGAGACAAGGAAGAGAAATAGTTTAAAATATAAAACACCATTGTACTATAACACAGATGTTTAAAAATACACAAACTCACATTTGAGCCTTAAATCCAGAGTATTAAAGCTAATTTTATAATAACAAACCTGAAGTGATCAGCAAGATATTTCAATGATTCAAGATTAATGCACTAAATGTCTTCAAAAGGTTAACAGGAATACATCTATAATTTTAGAGCTTCATAGGACCTTTATGTACGGTGTTTGGCATAGTGTTTGGGACACACAGCAAGTGTTTAGTAAACAGTAGTAATACAGATTGACTGCAACCTTTATTCTTCAGAGGGGACCACTAAAACACAACACAGTTACATTACCAAATACTCGAACATCACTGACCTAGTTAATAGCAAGACCTGAGCCCAAATCTCTAAACTACTCCCCACCTCCTCAGTATACATTTTCTACTACAAGCCAGAGTTAATTTATATAATTTACAGAATCTAGTTAGCCCTTCACCATTTAAAAATTCTTCTAAAGTGTGAAAATGGCAACTCCAATGACATCTTATTATATTCTATTCAAGGTTGTGTACCACTTATCGGAAATGTTTGGGACTAGATGGAACCAGAAGTGTTTCAGATTTCAGATTTTGAAATATTTGCATATACATAATGAGATATCTCGGGTATGGGAACCAAGTTTAAACACAAAATTTACTGTAACATCATGTCAGCATTCAAAAAGTTTCAGATTTTGGAGGATTTCAGATTTTCGTATTAGGGATACTCAACCGCAGGGCTTTTGGCTGTATACTTAAAAGCAATTTAACATGACAATTCTAGAAATTACCAAGTAATAAATTTTTTATGTGCAAGTGAGTATAGGTTTCAGTGAGTTTATAGATGACGTGATTTTTTTTTTCAAGTTACTATACTTCCTTGTGTCTTAGACATGTCTACTATAAAATGGGAACAATAACAGCATCTACTTTAAAGTATTGTGACGTGTTATTTTACCAGCTAGAACGTTAAATTCCATGAGTTAAGGTTTCTGTTCAACGATTCGTTGTAAGTATATGCAATACATGCAACATAGTTCAAATTAAATATCAAGTATGTGCCACATAGTTAAGTTGTTTAATAAATGAATTAACAAATCATGCTGGCATGAGAAATCAGAGTAACTGTGAATTGCCTATGACACCTTCAGTTTATAATTCTATATATTTAATTCCCACTTTCTGCATTAAATAGTCCAGAACAATAGTACTAATAATTCACGAGAGAAGTAAAAAATAATTTGTGTTATGAATTGAATGTTTGTGTCACCCCAAGGTCATATGTTGAAGCCCTTATCCCCAAGATATAATGGTATTAAGAGTTGGGGCCTTCGGGAAGTAATTAATTTTAGATGAGGTCATGAGGATTAGCACCTTATACAAAGAAAGAGACAAGAACTTGCTCTCTTTGCCCTGTGAAGTTATAGCAAGGCCGAAGGGGTATGCAAGTCAGGAAGAGGCTCTCACCAGAACCAGACAATGCTGACACCTTGATCTTCCTAGCCTCCAGAACTGAGAGAAATAAATGTCTGTTATTTTCAGTCACCCAATCTAGGGTATTTTGTTACAGCAGCCTGAGCTGACTGAGACAATATGGTCTTCGAAAGTTTTAAATGTTGATTTTTGCAACAAATTTTCTTATGTCAGCAGAGTTTACAGTTCAATTATGTTTGTATTTCCTGAATACATTCTGAGTCAGGGAAAGTGAGGTAAGTATTTGGTACGATTAATCATTAAACAATCTTCTATATTTACATTTATGCTGACCTCCAAAGTGAATTCAACATTCATTCCTTGGTTTATACTTGATCAATGTATTTGTTTATATAAAACAAATTATGTCCTTACCTTGTACCTACAAACAGTTGAAAAATTTTACAAAAAGACATAGTTCACTAGTTACCAAGTGCCAAAATTTGTGCCTGTTGAATACACTGTATTTGAATGGAATAAAAGATATGTTTAAGTCAGCTAGGCATGGTGGTTCAGCCTGTAATCCCAGCAATTTGGGAGGCCCAGACAGGAACACTGCTTGAGTCCACAAGTTTGAGACCAAACTGGGCAACATACCAAGACCCTGTCTCTAAAAAAAAAAAAAATAATAATAATAATAAAAAACAACTAGCCAGGAGCACTGTACACCTATAGGCCCAGCTACTTGAGAGGCTGAGGCAGGAGGATCATTTGAGCCTAGAAGTTCGAGGTTGCAGTGAGCTATGATTGTGCCACTGCATTTTAGCCTGGGCTACAGAGCAAGACCTTATCTCTTAAAGAAAAAAAAAAGTTATATTTAAGTAAGTGAATCTTTAAAAAGGATTTTATTCACTTAGGTTTCTTTATCTCCATTATTTTGTTTGTTTTTGAATGATGGTATCTATAATTACCCGTCCTGTCCTTCCCCTAGCACAATTTCACCAACTCCTTACATTTCCAACTTAGCTGTAGGTCATCAAAATGACCAGGGTTACTCTTGGTCATGCTTCAACAGTCAAAAAACCTTCTGGTTTCAAGATGAATACTCTTTTCAAAACTACTAAACTTCATAAAAACATCAAATTATATCATAGAGATGGCATATTATTACTTAAATATACTAACTTCTAAATAGGCAAAGTATTAAAGATGACATCTGTGATACAATGTTTGACATTATAACTCAAAGACAATTAGTAGTATTGTCATAATTCGTAGAGCTGAATGCTTTAGAAATGGCAAGAACATTGCTCTACATACTAAAAAGGATCTACCCATTTTAACTGAAGAAGTCCATTACAGTTTGACTATAGGCTGAATATCCCTTCTCTGAAATGCTTGGGACCAGAAGTGTTTTGGCTTTTGGCTTTGGGAATATTTGCATTATACTTAATGGTTGAGCATCCCTAATACATAAATCTGAAATCTGAAATGCTCCAGAGTATTTCTTTTGAGTGGAGCATTTCAGATTTCAGATTAGGGATGGTGAACCTGTATAGTGCAATGCTTTCCAACCTGGAACACCTAGTCCTCTAAAGTCTAGAAAACCAGAAATAAGATGAATCACTTTCAATTAGAAAACACAACCTCTTAACCTCTGATAAGGAAAGGTTAACCAAAATGTTGAAATTCCTTATTTTGTACTTTTACTGTATCTCATTTTGTTCCAAAGCTATGATTAGCAATTATAGATGTCTAATGTTTTAGAGAGTAAATAAATTATTAAAGGTCAAATGTTTGGTAAATCTTTTAAGCACATGCATTTCATGAGAAGAATAAAACATAAAACCTTATTTGTGATTTGTGCTGAAACACTTAAGAACCATGGGTCCAATAAAATTGGGAAAGAGGAAGGTACTCCAGAGTGACAAATACTATTAACATACAGTATTTCTGGATGTTTCCTTAAATAAAACTCTTTATTACTATTAATAAAAAACTTACCCAAGAAAACTTGGTTAATAAAGTCTCTCTTGTTAAACCTAAAGTTCATACCTTGCTTTTCATGGCAGAAGAATATGGGCCTAAGAACAATCCAGGTAAAATTTCCTACAAAAAAATTGAGATATTTACCATCAGTGATTTAAATCTATACAAAGTATGTACCATATGATTGAATTTGTGGGAGTGTTTTCATAGTTGTTATAATAATTTGCTTAGAAGTTTGTTATTTAGGGAGCATTTCCTAGCCACACTGAGCAAATGATTTGGAAGAGAAATATAGATGTGCCTTTATAGTATCAAATGAGACATTCCAAGTTCAAATATAGTTCTGAAAAGTCAGATATTTCAACTTCCTTAGTGCTTTTTACAAGAAGTTTGCGTAGAATTAGTACATTTTATTATTGCCTTTTAGATTAATAAAATCTCTCTAATTTTACTTCTCTTCTCTGCTATAATCTAGAAACAAAAGAGGCATAAAAGAAATCATCCCTTTGGAATTACACAAGACCTTATTCAGCTAAAACAAAAGCAGCACAAGATAGAACAGGATTAGAGTTATTACCTATAGTTAACAGAAGCAAACTCTTGTTGCAAGGTAAAAAGTCCAATATCAAACATTTGCCTGTTGATGAAGTTTCAACAATTTAAATAAGTACCTTCTAAATGTTCAATTCACATTTAGTCTATGTAAATTCAATATAGAAAGCTTTTAGTCTGGATATATCATACCCTAGTTACTAATATAATAGTGTAATTTTGTAGTTTAGTTCTATAAGACATCATAATTATTTGTGTATAAGACTGATTTCTCCCACCAGCTTCTTGTGGGCAGAAATTACATTTTATTCGTCTTTCATTCCTCACAGCACCAAGTTATAATGCCTTATAGGTACTCACAGATCTTTAAAAAGTGAATTTGCATTAAGAGACAAAGATAACAGATTTTTAGAAGTAAAGGTATTCCCAAGAATGAGACATTGCTTAATCCTGGGGCTAGCACAGTTGACTGTAAACGGTTAAGAAATGCAAAAGAAAAACTGCTATTAGGGTTAGCTACCATTTTAATTCATTCCAAACTGCAAGTATTCAAACTCAGTCTTCTAGGCAACTTAATTTTGGAAGCTGATTGGAAATCAGACACAAAAATGAACTATTTAAATGTCTGATCTGCTGTACAGTCAACTCTCCTAAACTTATCTAAGCTAGACAAATAAAGCAAACTGCTTTCAAAAGGAATACATGTAATATCCAATTTTTCAGATGAAGAAAAAGAAAATGACTCATTAGGCACATACATATATTACTATGTTCCT